AAAAAATGCACCATAATTTTCTTTTAAACAGGAAAATGCTTTTTCAGGAAATGAGGTTCTATACATGGGGAAGTATCTGGCATCAAGAAGACTCAAGAAGAGGAGCGTAGCGTTCTCCGAAAATCTAACAGAGACATTCTGACACACGACATCAATAATTTCACAGAACAGCCGTTTATAGGAGTTTTTTCTTTCTTCTCCACTCATTGAGTCAATGCGAATTCTTTTGGGTCGAGTTGGGCCATTTGAATCGAAGACATTTTCCATTTCACTCCAAAGGTGGTCAAATCCTCCCCTTAATCTTTGCATGTGATGCTTAAATTCGTCTATTTTGGTATTGCAAAAAGCTATATCAGATCTCTTAGTTTGTAGGATTTTGAAAAGAGCGCCAGAATATGGAAAAATTGAAGAAAATATTTTCAGCATGAAATTGAAATCGAAATCCCTTAGAAGAGAGAGAAGTCCGCGTGCAGAAGAAATTGTTTCTACATCCCATTCTTCTGGTTCCTCTATTATAGACACAAGAAGATTCTCAATTCCTTCTCTGTATTCATGCACAGTTTCAGCAAGTCGGCTATGGTACTGCCATCGAGTAGGTGCGATAGAAGGAAATCTTTTCCTAAGGTGGGAATCCAATGCTTCAGTCCTTTTTGTGGACTTGGCAAAAAAAGTTCTAAAGCCAGAGAGAGTAGCAAAGAAGACCTTAACTTCCTTAATAAAACTAGCAGATTGTGCTAAGACTAAATTTAGTCTATGCGCATAACAATGAACAAAAATGGCGTTTGGGTACTGCTCGCGAATTTTTGCTTGTACTCCTGCATGTTGTGATGCCATAACAGCAGCACCATCATAAGTCTGTGCAATGAGTTTGGGACCACATTCAAAATCATTTAAAATCTCAAGAGCATGGTTAAACAAGGAATTGGCAGAACGGTCAGAGCTCACGTCTGTAAAACGCAGAAACCTTTCTTCAACATTGCCATCAGCTGTCACATATCGAAGAACTGAAGCCAACTGACACTTATTCATCACATCTGAAGTCTCATCAAGAATTAAAGAAACATAATTAGCCTTTGAAATTTCCTTTTTAATTTCCATTGTCATCAATTCAGATACAGAATGTATCAGTTCATTTTGGATGTCAGGAGAAGAACCACGGAAAGCAGTTGAAGACTCTAAATGATTGTGTAAATCAGAATCATAACGTGCCAGCATATTTAAAACCTCAATGTAATTTCCTCTATTAACAGATGCCACGCTTTCATCATGTCCCCGAAATGCTAAACCCTGAGAGCCCAGAAAACAAACTGCTGTAATTAATTGGCCTACAAATTTCCTGTTCTGTTTCACAGCTTCATTGTGTTTTTCAATTGACTGTTTGTATTGGCTGCTTAGAGAAAATTCAATCCTTCTGTTTTTACCAAACAGTGTAATTTCTTTAAGACAAGCAATGTGATTAACTGAATGCCCATGTCTTTTGCCAGATTTGTAAATGTTGTTAATGTCATTGTAACCAGCACTGTTAAACACGTGTTTTTCTTTAGAAAACAAGAGACAAGGCCAACAGAATAATTTGTTTAGTTTATCACACCCACACAACCATGGAATAGCCTCATATAAACTGGTATTGAAATGCCGTGTGCAAGATTTCACTTTTGTATGTAAAGTTAGATTAGGCTTAGGTGCACCTTCTTCTATTATCTTAAGTTTCTCATTATAACTGAGTGAACTGAACGGTGTTTGAAGAAGTTTTTCAATCACACAGTGGTTATCACATGAAAGTGTCATGTTTCTATTTTTAACTTAACAGCAATCACAAAAACACTGGTCATAAAGTTATAATTATGCAAAGCAAAACAAATTCTGTATTGAGAAAAATACAGAATAATAACTAAACTGACTTGTGCACAAATGAGACGCTAACACCTTCTGAAAACTAATAAACACGCTTAACTGCCAGGTCACAGACTATTCTACTGCGAACTGCAATGCCTTACATCTGGCAACATTGCTGGAAGCACGAAGCTAGTAGCATACCATAACGGATAGCTCACTTACAGACAACATTGACATTGGTCAGCCAGTTAACCCAGGGGAGGGTGGAAGCGAAAGACCTGCTGCTTCCGCGCGTGTTGCAGTTTGAAGTTCCCTGCATTTTTGAAGAAAATAACTGATCTATCCTGATAAATTGTTTATGTAATACATTAAAACTTGCAATATTCTCATTATATGTAATAAATGTTCTCAGATTAATTAATATTTTGAAGTATGAAATATTTTTTCGAAATTGAAAAATTGCCAGAAATGTTCGTGGTTGCTTTTCTATAGGGAAGCAATGCTTCCACCACATCCATGTACCCTAAGCCCCTGCAGCATATATCAAACAAAATGCTTAGACTGGCCTTCAAAATACAGAGGAGAGACAAAACAGACATTAAACATCAGATACAAAGAGCATAAGCCATCAGAAATAACAGCAACAATTCCAGATCCTGAAACCACATACTAAATAAAGGACACATACAGGGCAATAACTGATACTACAGACATCATAAAGACAGGAAAGAAAGTGAACACACAGTCCAGAGAGATTCAAGAGAACAAACGATTCATCATTTCATTATTTTCCCTGCATTTTCCACAAATTTCACGGTAACTTCACGAAATTGTGTCTGATAAACTTCGTTTTTTGAAATTGTGTTCACACTGGATGCCAAAGGTGCTTACGGATGAACACAAAATGAAATGGCAGGCCAGTGCGTTGACCTTCCTGACACAATACAGTGAGCAAGGCGATGACTTCTTGAGCCGCATAGTCACAAGGGATGATAAATGGTTATTGCACGTAACCCCTGAATCAAAGCAGCACTCCATGGAATGGAGGCACTCATCATCGCCAGTAAAGAAAAATTCGAACAGGCCATTTCAACTCAAAAGATCATGTGCACAGTGTTTTGGGACAGAAGCGTTCTGCTTGTGGAATTCTTGCCTCAAGGCTCAACAATCAACACAGGTGTCTATTATGACGCATAATTCGATCATCCCCCATACAACCCAGAATTAGCACCAAGTGATTTCCACGTGTTCGAGCATCAGAAAACTTTCCTTGGTGTCCGGTGGTTCCACGATGATGAGGTCGAAGAAGCAGTTAACGCGTGGGCTGCATCACAGGTGGCATCATTCTATGATGCAGGGATACAAAAACTGGTGCCCCACTATAGGAAGTGCCCAACAATGGTGGAAACTGTCGAAAAGTAGCAGACGGTATGTACATCAAATGGCAACACAAATGGTTTGGAAATAAATTCTTGTTTTTTTCAACAGCTCATCAGAACTTACCTTCTGGATAACCTACATATTAGACAAGAATATAAAGTATGTTAGGCCATGCCACAGATCAGGCGGTTAGTTGCCGGCTGTGGACAAAGTGATATGGGGGCAGGTCTTCTTTGAGTACTTCGGTTTCCCTTGACACTTCTCATTCCACCGACTGCTTCACACACATCATTATTTATCATCCAGGGCTGGTACGATAGGCTAAACAGTGACTGACACGTCAAGTGCACTGAGTCTCACTCCACCCCAAGAAACAAAAAAAAAAAAAGCAAATGTATGTTGTATTTGAGACTGTAATACATATGTGCAAAATTAATAATATTAAGGCAACAGGATGCTTAAGTACAGAATCTGTTTACCTTTTGTGCTCCACCTGGATACATACACTATGCTTGGCTTCATTCTACGTGACGATTCCTTCAAATCACTGATGACCAGCCACTCCACAGTTCTAAGAGAAAATATTATTTATACTGTCTTTCTCACAGGTGTACATACATCTACAAATTGCTTTGCCTGTAAGAGGTTTTCTAGCGTGGTCTGTGCCTCTGCAAGATGGAACTGACAACAGATCAAGGGTATGGGGGAAAGGAGTTACCTCTGGCATACTTGCACACAAGCTACTTCCATTCATGCAGCTGAGTGGCCTCTCCTACCTCACTTCTAATGCATCACAGATCACTAGAGGTCATAGTGCAAGAGCCAGCAGTTAGGCCCACCCCTTACATGTACCTCACTTCTATCATAGCTACTGTTCTGCACTCCAGTAGTTGACTGACATCTCTAATGTGCCATATGTACTGAGGGGTCCTTTCAAGAGAATCTGAGTTCATGTACTGAGGAAAGGGTGAAGTCCAGCACTTAATTCAACATGATGCCATCAAATGGATTACCATTATTCTTTCGGGATGGGGTGGGGTGGTCTGGAATAAGTTCGACTGGGGTAATTCTCTTGGCGTATGGCATGGAACACCATGCGCCTTAATGACTCTGTTCATGCACATGTCTATTTAGAACTTCACGTTTTCCAGGGCCTCTGCAGATGACACTCGTCTGAATACTCTATTATGTGATTTGATCTAGGCATTGTCTAAAATAATAAAAGGTCTACGCAGCTTTTCTAGAATATATTAGACATAAATACCTGCAGCTGTCACATGTCTACAATATCACCAGACTTGGGTCTTCTGTGTCCCAAATATTCTCAAGGTTGACACTGTTGGGAGAACACTATAATTTTGGGTTTTGAATAAAGGAACTACTCTGTATGTTTTGTACATCAATAAGTTTGTCATACTTCATGGAAGTTCAGTAAATGTACTACAGAGTTATGATAACAGTTCATTACCAAAGACACTAGATAATTAAAATTTAAATTTCCTACCCATGTTAAATTACTACATGCAGTGCACCAGGAATAAACAGCTGTTACAACATGGCAGTCGGTTTCCATGCCTACAATTCAATGGGAACCCTATGCACATGCTGCTATCAAAATCTACTGGCTAGCATTGAAATCACGTTCAGATGGAGAAATTGGTGTTACTGCAGATGTGGCATAGCCCACCTACCTTATAAAACAATTATTCTGGCAACAACTTAAACAGATGTTCACAAGGCAAATTAAACTACAGTTTATATACAATATTACTTATTTATTTTAATTTACTAATATGTATAATTACTATAAAACAAATAAGTAACAATTTCAATTCATTTTATATAACTTCTCAGTTCAAAATCAGTCATTATAAATCAGCTTTTGGGCCCATATTGAGAGGAATAGCCTGCAATTCTGTCCTCATACACAGAAATTCACCAGATACACACATGATGGTCAGACACACCAAATTCAGCAGCCACCAAGAAAAGGCATTGGGAAAGTGACCATTATAATACCAGCACACAATCAAATGGATGAGATGAGCTGTTGATGAAAAGTCCAAGCACTGCTTTGTTCGCTGCACAATAAACCACAGTCCAAGAGCTCTGTAACATGAATAAAAGTCCTCAGAACCATAAATTAAGGATAAAAGGTAAAAAGAGGTATAGCTATTCCTGTAACAGGCCACAAAGGCCCATAGGGTTGTGAGACGTTGAGGCTCCCACATTTTCTCTAGACAGTTGGCCCACAGATGGCAGTAGGGTTGTCAGCCTTACACACAAACTGCCCTTTACCACCCAGAAAGATTCCTTTCCTAGTATTTACTGCTGTTAGAGGATGAGTCAACCCCAGGGCCAGAGCGCGGTTGGAAGGATTAGGCAAATTGGAAAAAAAAAATCACCTCATCTGGACTCGAACCCGCAACCTTCCGGCTTATAGCATAGTGCTTTGACCAACTATGCTACCGCATGCCCCATAAGTTAGGGATACTGTTTTAATTTTACGAATATTCCTTCTGGGAAAAACATACTGATCGAAGAGAGATGAAACAAGTTGGGAATGTTGTATATTATATACTTTGGGAAGCTCTGAGATATTATGATTTTACACAGCTCACTGAGTACTGCTCAAGTGGTCAAATCCAGGTTACAGTGGACTCTTGGAAATGATCACTTTGAAGACAAAGAAGGTGACGGCATAATATTAAAATGCCTATAAGCTGTGATAAGACAAGAGGTTCTGGACTGAATGGTAGCAAGTATTAATCGTGTTCAATCTCCTCTTAATTTCCTCTTGAATCAGGTTTTGATTTGTTATCATCATTCCCAACTATGTGTACTGTGCCACATTTTCAAAATATATTGTAACGTGTTACGTTACTGAAGACGCCGTAGAGATTGTTAATTGGTTTATTGAACAATCTACAAATAATGGCTACAATTACTTATCACACAGTTGCCGGGTTTCACACTTTATAACCCTAATCGCATTAATCTGTTAACACTGTTGCGGGGTTTCACGATTTATAACCCTATGCGCAAATCAGTTCACTCTGTCTTCAGTGGTCTAGACGTTTACAGTAGGGGAGCTATGTATCACTGTATCACACACTCCCAATTACACAGTTACACACATGTCCGGTTCTTCTTTCCGCAACGGCTGGTATATTCCAACTCGACTCGCAGGCTGCTGCCTTGAGAACTGTTGATAACACACTCTGACTCATAGGCTTGCTCGGAACTCTCTCGGAACTGAGCTCGGTGATGGCCACATTACAACTAACTCGCAGCACTGTGCAGTTCCCTTATATAGCCGCAGTGCTTGCCTGTTGCGTAATGAGTGCTACGTCATCCTGTTACATCACCGCACGTTGCGCGTTACGTTACCATGCGGAGGGGGGGGAGCGCTGACTCAACCGCCGCATCACTGCTGGTGGGGGAGGGGGGATTCTCCGTTGCGCAACGTGTCACACTGCTCCCTCCTTAAGGCTGTTCGTCCCAAATAGCCTAACGGTGCATCCCCGTTCCTTTGCTTCGGAGGCTGTTCTTGCAGCATCTGTTCTCCGGCCATTACAACCACTCCCTTCTTAAGACCAACTCGTCTCGAGCGGTTTCCTTTCAGCTCGCCAGAAGATCCAGTTGTGTCTCATTCATCCATCACTTTCATTCTATGGCACATTCACTCTCTCTGGGGAGGCCGGTTCTTCTACATTACTGGTTCCTCCTCTGCTTGAAGTCTCTTTTTCCATTTTGGAGGGGGTCTACCCCTCCATAAGTCCCAATCCTTGTGTTGCCGTAGGCTGACAGAAGATCCAACCATTCTCATTGCGATCTTCACGCTGACAATCTCGTAGATGGTCTACTTACCAATTCTCCCTTCTTGGTGCGATCGCTGTCCTGATCTACACCCTCTGATGACGTCCTTGGTTGTCACCTTTTCCGTCTGGCATCCGAAGGTTCCCTGGGGAGTTTCCTTCTTGAAAGCATTTCTCCAGCATTGTGCCACTGTCGCGCGATGGGATATCTTCCTGCAGGTGGCATCCAGCTTCATCCAGGATTCATAGTCTCCTCGGGTCCAAATTTTTCTGACAATCTCTCTTCGACGCCATGTCACTGTTGCAAGGCGGAACACCTTCTTGCGAACGATGGCCAATTCATTCTGTGATCCACAATTTTCCCGTACCAGATTCTTCTTATTTCATCGCCGATGTCGGCCCCTGCGCCTTTTCTTCTTCGGTTCTCTGACCGGCATTACTTCGGCGTCTTGTACGGGTACCTCCCGTAGTTCTGCCGCCTCAGGTGTCACGTCCACTGAGGCTGGCTCTTCTTCTAGACATGCCTCCATTACTAGGCAGGCCAACGTCTCATTGTCTTCGTTAGGAATCGACTGTCGGTTAACTACAACCGCTTTTCTTCTTGGATTTTTCTCCATTGCATCCTGGCAGGCTGTCGTCTCTTCCTGCAAGGCATTGAAGTCAGCGTCTAATTTTGTCAGCATGATGTCGATTTGTTTTTGGTTGACATCTAGTTTTGTCAGGAAATCTTCTGTCTTTTTTTCTATTTGCTTCCGCATCTTCTTGATGGTTTCGGAACATTTCTTGGTTGTCTCTGATTTCCTTCAGTAGAAGTTCCATCCTCTGCTGCATCTCTATTTTGTAGCAGTAAGATACTTAATTCACAACAATTTGTTTGTGGCGTGTTTAAGTTCGTAAAAATTCTGACACCAATGTAATGTGTCTTGAGTTCGAATCTCGTTGATCACGTGTGTAAGTCCAAATCCCACTTCTGACACCAGTGTAACGTGTTACGTTACTGAAGACGCCGTAGAGATCGTTAATTGGTTTATTGAACAATCTACAAATAATTATAACACAGTTGCAGGGTTTCACACTTTATAACCCTAATCGCAATAATCTGTTACCACTGTTGCGGGGTTTCACACTTTATAACCCTATGCACAAATCAGTTCACTCTGTCTTCAGTAGTCTACAAGTTTACAGTAGGGGAGCTATGTATCACTGTATCACACACTCCCAATTACACACACGTCCGATTCTTCTTTCCGCGACGGCTGGTATATTCCAACTCGACTCGCAGGCTGCTGCCTTGAGAACTGTTGATAACACACTCTGACTCGTAGGCTTGCTCGGAACTCTCTCGGAACTGAGCTTGGTGATGGCCACACTACAACTAACTCGCAGCCGCTGTGCAGTTCCCTTATATAGCCGCAGTGCTTGCCTGTTACGTAATGAGTGCCACGCCATCCTGTTACGTCACCGTGCGTTGCGCGTTACGTTACCATGCGGAGGGGGGGAGCGCTGACTCACCCGCCGTGTCACTGCTGGTGGGGGCGGATACTCTGTTGCGCAACATGTCACAATATGTTACCTATCTTTATGTCATGATTTTGCTCTGCATCTGATGATGAGACAGCAACATATTCTTAGTTTTCTCTGTTTACTTCTAGACCAACCTCCTTACTTACTTACTTACTTACTTACTCATGGAGTTGAGCCCTTCTGGAGGAGCCGCCAATTTTGCAGTTACTCAAGAACTTTCCAGCATTTTATGGAACCCGAAGGTTCATTACCATGTTCACAAGAATCCTCCACTGGTCCCTATCCTCAGCCAGATCAATCCAATCAATACCATCCCATCCTATCTCTCTAAGATCAATTTTAATATTGCCCATCCACCTACACCCTCGTCTTCCCAGTGGTCTCTTTCCTTCTGGCTTTCCCACCGATATCCTTCATGCATTCCTCATCTCCCCCATTCGTGTTACATGCCCTGACCACCTCATCCTCCTTGACTTGATCATTCTACGAGGGGAAGTCAATAATTATCTGCAGTGCAGTTGTATTTGCGTTTCTGTTGGCAGCATTGTCATTTTGCGCAGCATCACCATGCGTGGTTTCCGTGTCATTATTTCTGCGCAGGTTTGATGTTGCTAGGTCAGTTCCATCGTCGCTGCCTTGCCGTTAATCATGGCTGCTCCGCTTTCTGTTTGTACCAAAGAAGAGCAACATTCAGTGGTCCAGTTTTTGTGGTCGGAAGGTGTATCAGGGGCCACAATCCATCAAAGACTTTCAGCACAGTACGGGAACAGTGTTTTGCCACAACGGAGTGTCTACGAATGGATTGAAAAATTAAAAAATGGTCGCACAAGTGTTACACATGAGGAAGGAGCTGGATGACCATCCACGGCCACAAATGAGGACAACATTGAGCGTGCACGTGACATGGTTCTGTTAGACAGACGAGTGACTACTGATGAAGTGGCAAATCACCTGCAAATTAGTCATGGTTCTGCCTACGAAATCATACACAACAGACTTGGGTTTCATAAAGTCTGTGCAAGATGGGTCCCAAAACAACTCACAGTGTTGCATAAACAAACGAGCTTGGACATCTGCCAACAACATTTGGATCGCTAAGGTAACAAACATGACATCTTCTTAGACAGAATCATCACTGGTGACGAAACATGGATCCATCATTGCGAGCCTGAGAGTAAACGGCAGAGTATGGAATGGAAACATCCACAATCGCCCAGCAAGAAAAAGTTCAAAAGCCAACCGTCCGCAGGAAAACTGATGCTTACAGATTTTTGGGACTCACAAGGCCCAGTACTGGAACATTATCATGAGAGGGGCACAACAGTAAGCAGTGCTCGTTACAATGAGATGCTTACTGACAGGCTAAAGTCTGCAATTCGAAGCAAACACCAAGGACTACTGTCAAAAGGTGTTGTGTTGTTGCATGACAATGCCCGTCCACAAACCGCTGCCCACACTGCTGAAACCCTCTGGAAACTCAAGTTTGATGTAATGGCTCATCCTCCGTATAGTCCTGATCTCGCCCCTTCTGACTACCACTTGTTTGGTCCACTCAAAGAGGCATTAAGGGGCCGTCGATTCACCTCGGACCAAGAAGTGAAGGAAGCGGTGCATGCGTGGCTCGCTGCTCAGCCAAAAGCCTTCTTTTCTGAGGGCATCAGGAAGCTTGTGCAATGATGGACCAAGTGCGTTGAAAAGCAAGGGGACTATGTTGAAAAATGATGTTAATGTAAGTTTTCTATTTGTATTGAAATAAAATTTATAGCTACATTGCAGATAATTATTGACTTCCCTACGTAATTATACTTGGATAAGAGTACAAGTTATGAAGCTCCTCATTATGCAGTTTTCTCCAACCTCCTGTCACTTCATCTCTCTTCAGTCCAAATATTCTCCTCTACACCCTGTTTTCAAACACCCTCAGTCTATGTTCCTCCCTTAACGCCAGAGGCCAAGTTTCACACCCACACAGAACCACAGCCAAAATTATAGTTTTGTATAATCTAATTTTTATGTTTTTGGACAGCATACGCGAAGACAAAAGGTTCTGGACTGAATGGTAGCAAGCATCACCCGAGTTCAATCTCCTCTGAATTTCCTCCTGAATAAGGTTTTGATATGTGTTTCTCTTTATGGTATCTACATTATCACCTAGTAGATTCACATCACCAGCACAGACCAACAGCTGATGTGTCCCGTTTAATTTCAGTCCCTACCTGGTTTTCCTGGACATTGCCAATGGTATATTCTAAAGCAAAGTTGAAAACTAGTGGTGATAAAGCATCTCCTTGTTTCAGATCATTCTGAATAGGAAATTTATCAGACAAATGTTTACCTATACAGACTTTACTATACGTTTCGTTTAAACACATTTTAATCAACCTAACTAGTTTCATATGTATCTCAAACTCTATCAGAATAATGTACAACACTTCCCTCCTAACTGAAACATAGGCTTTCTTGAAGTTTACAAATAGCTGATGTACTGTCTGACTGTACTCCCACTTTTTCTCCAGTATCTGACGAATGCAAAAGATCCAATCTGTAGTTGATCTGTTACGTCCAAACCCACAACTGATGATCTCCAGTAATTTCATATATGTATGGACTTAACCTTGAGAGAAGAATACTGGATACAATTTTGTATGAAATTGATAGCAGTGACATCCCCCAATAATTACTACAATCAGTTTTATCGCCCTTCTCGTGCACTGGTACAATAATAGATTCCTTCCACTGATCAGGCAATTTTTCCTTATGCCAAATAGAAGTAATAACTTATGGAACTTAGAATGTAATATTTCGCCTGCTGCTTGAATAAGTTCTGCTAGATTTAATCACTTGATGACTTACATTGCCATAGTATCACTGAAACTGCATATATAAGTTACAGTGAACCAAGGAGTAAACACAAAATTTATTCCTATCCAAGACATTACTCAAACTTGGAAGTTGAGGCCTCTTAACATGCCAGTATCTCGCAAGTAAATTCTTCAACTATAAAATACTTTCTCCTGCCAACAACTTACCCAACTAATGCATTCAAAACAAAAGCTGTTATAACTAGTTTGCCTCCAAAATCTCGTACATGGATCTCCTGTAAAAAAAGAAAAAAATACAAATATTTGTTCATAATTCTTTGTTTCAAAGATTTTTCAGTTTAGCAAGAAATATGTGGAATTCATTTAATATTGTCACAAGTTAGAGTGGTTACAGGCTATGTCCGGATTGGTAATTCGATTTACCGACCACTTACAGACCGTAACTACAAGTTAACTATAACAGCCTCACTAGTCTACACACTCTAAAAATCATAACTGCAGCACACATTAAATCTTCTATGACTTCACTAGTCATCTCTTGGTACCAGATCTTAACACTGTCCTCCACTTACATTCTCACTGTCCAGCACATATCACCAACTAAACTAAGCTCGAAGTCAAAGTTACTTTATGACTAGTGGTGTACCGCCAATCAGTTTGTCTTGCCGCCAAGACCCTTGAGGTTCACGACCAGTGATTTATTTTTTCAACTGATCCCTTGATGTCACAGTCCTTATGTAACATCCCCTCTGGTGAGAAAAGTGGTTTGTCTCTTATGAATATAACTGGCCTATAGACAAGTATATGTATTGTGCATACAGCATGTTATGGCATTTTTTTTCTTTTGCACTATATACAAGTTCCTGTCAGTACAGGTTTTGTAAAGGAGATATGCCTACCTTACTTATCTCATGCTATAATGGCAGCTTAGACACCGCCAAGTTTAAGCATCTTATATTTTCTATGTCTGGCTTCTACTTGTGCTATATTGTGAACATGTTCATCATCATGATCTTGTGTGATTTCTGCTTGTTGCCTGCAGTTTTGTTACATAATCATATACATACAGATGGTTGAAAGCCATGTGCAAATCACAGACCATGTGCAACTTGGAAAAAGGAGAACCTCGAAGAAAGCAGTCTTCTGGGATTTGGTGCCGTGTATATGTGGTGTTAACCGACGTTTCGGAGGAACGTATCGCCCCCATCTTCAGGGTTGAAGAAAAAGTATAGGTAAATCTGCAAGCGACAACACCGTGAGACACGGTAACTCCGAAACGTCGGTTAACACCACATATACACGGCGCCAAATCCCAGAAGACTGCTTTCTTCATAGTCACCGCCGTGAAAGCCTCAAATCTTACAAGGAGAACCTTGTTTTGAAGGCGCTGTAATTTTAAGAGGTACGTGTCAGCTGCTAATTCCCAGGTGGGGCAAGCATAAGTCATTACTGATCCGATCGATGTCTTATGAAGGGTTAATTTAAAGTTTGCTGAACTAAGCTCAAAGTCAAAGTTATGTTACGACCATTGTCTTGGAATAAAGCACCAATCTGGGACCAGATCCTCATTACTGACAGAGTTTCAGGTTTGCTGATGTGGGGGTGCTCTCTCTGATGAGAGGACAGGACTATCATTCTCCATAGTCACAGTCAGCAGTAATAAGTCTGTTGTCAGTATGCACAATTTATATTTTACATATTATTAAATGTATGTACATACAACATATACGAGGCCTCAGTCAGTCAAGACTCACAGGCTCAATACAGGAGATCATGCCCTATCATTAGCAGCTCCTGCTACATCAGTCTAGTCACTTGAATGAACTAAGCTCTAAACTTCGTCCTGTTTATAACCCATCAGGATGAACCAACAGAAAACTCAGCTCTTCTGTTGTGTACATGTGTGTTGGGGTTCCCACATGATAACTACACAACCAGTCCACTGATGCACTGGCATCTGCCTAGCAACAGTTGTTGTCCCGTTGTTTGTTCCACTGCCCTTGAATCTGTCAGTTAACATTGCTTGCAGTGTCAGCTTGACAGCAGCAGATATTGGGACTGATTTAGTCAACTTCCTGGCTGTCTGTGAGGCATCATTAGAGATAGTCCTCTTGCGTGTCTTCCTGGAAGTCGTCACCCAGGGCCATTGATTTCAGTGTGGTTTTGTTCACTGTTCTGCTTCATCCTGTCATCCTGTCAGGATGGCCTTTAGTTCATTCACTGTTGCCCTGTACATTCCATAGAGAGGGCTAAAAAGCAGCTTCACGTCTAGAAATTTTTAAAAGTTTGTATTGTTCTCCTCCGAACTATTCTTAATAGATGTCCACTCGGAGCTTTCCCCACTTTATCAGGTGTGTATTCGGCAACGACTTCAATGTCACTGAGCATTTGATGTACTTGTGGTGCTACAGAAACTGCTTCTGTGTATTTGTTCATTATGGAAGGGTATTGAGATTTCAGCAATAGCTTCTGTATCCAGTATTTCCAAAATCCCGGTTATGGGACATCCGCCATCTTGGTGTACACTCTGATTCATCGCTTGTTTTGTTGTTTCCTACAGCATTTCACACAATGGCGGCCAAGCGGCAAACTTCACCGATACCACTTTCACCAAGCAAGAGTTGGCTGTGAACACACTACATAAAGTGAAGTCTGTAAAGACCACTTTGCCCAATACACATTTCGTTCAGATCTCTAAATCAAATCAAGGACTGGTGTAGATCCCGCGAACAACTCACTCTCCATCTCATCCAGCTCGACCCTCTCTGAATTAAGCAGCCAAATCAATTTCAGTAATTCTTTCAGTGATTTTCCCAGTTATTGGCAAAATATAATGTCAGCCCACTGTTCAAGGCCACCCATGTCCTAACTTCAAAAGCTTCCAAATTTTGCAAAGTTTCCACCTGCTTGTATGATGTAAACTCAATAATCCTACTGTGTGTAGGAAGCATAATGTCTCAGCAGTATGAATAGACTCCAGCAATTTTCCACAGTGTCCTATATCTCTTTCTGTCCCAACAAATTTTGAAGCTACCACATATTTGGCTTTTCAACAATAGAAATTATAAACTAGCATTTTATTGTTAATGGAAAGAAACTGTTGTGTAAATTAAACTCAGCATCGAAAGAGTATTGTAGAACTTCATCCATGTTTTCTATCGAAGTTTACATTTATGTAAAACTGTTATTTGTCAACCGAACAGTAAAATGAACAGTAATGAGGATGGAATTGTGGGCCCTTACTATATTCTTGGGTAAATATTTTAATTTTGGGGGGACAAAGTTGCTCGCATCTGTGACCCTTTCTACAGTATTATACAACAGATGATTTCAGTGGAATTTATAAATTCTGATTACTTAATTTCCTTCATAGGTGTCCATGTGGTGACACATGTCATTCTATCAGATTCCTATATGGTGCACATTTAACTGCCAACTGCCAATGCTAGGCAGTTTTCTTACTTCAGTTGCTATCCTTTTGTTATTCCTATTTCATCATATCAGGAATATAGGATGGGAAAATTAAAATCAAAATTTAGAAAAGTGGTTGGATGAGAACAGAAAATAAAGAACACCCAAATTTTGTTCCAAATTTGTTCTAAATAACAGGAGTGGACTACACAAGAGGTTTACCCTTGTGATATGAACCTGTCTTTTATTGTATCCAGTAAGACCAAAATATAGCAGATAATGTGTAATATTTTATTCTCACAAATAGTAAATGTTATATGATTTTTAAAGAAGATACAATTCAGTGGCTATAATAATCCAAATCCTTTACTTTGAAGATTACTGCCTTGTGAGATGTTACACAACATATTAACATTTCAGAGGAACCTGTTCCCTTCACGTTCAGGATAGAGGAAGAGGTTCTTCTTAAATGTTGGTATCTTTCTAACTACACAGTGTTACATTAAAGAAAGACGTAATTTTTGACATTACTGTTGTAAGAACTTCAAATCTCTTCTTCTGATTTCATTTGAGCCAAGTTAGACTAATGATAAACAAGTTTATGTTTAAGGTTGTGGTCTTCTCCATTATGATAGCAAGTAGTGTGGATGTGAGTAGAAATGTTTCAGAGGAACATGCTGCCTCCATCTTCCACCTCCTATCCAGATTAGAGGCAGGAAGTTCCTCTGAAACAACACTCACCTACCAGACTATGCAGTGTTGTAACTGAAAATACTTAATTATGAATCTTCCCTGTTACAAAAACTTCAGATAAGACCCATCACACATGACTATGTGTTCTTTGCATCATGTGCATAAAAGATCTCACAAAGGGAGAACCCATCTGTCTGATCATCTACGATTCAACTTCAGAACTGCTGGATAGATTTTGATGATCTCTAATGTGAACTTTATGCCACTGAAGGCCACCAAAGATAGTAATTTTTAATTTTCCACTAGTAGTATTAACAAAATGGTGGATGCAGAAACTTGTGTGGTAGGAGCAACACTAGCATCACTTCTGAAACCATGGTTAACCAGCAGTAACCACAGAAGCCATGCTATGTACACTTGTAGTCAGTACTCTTAAACATCAGTCTGCCATTTGGTACAGCTAGGAGCAAACAGAATGTCAAAATGCAATAAATAAATAAATATGTAAGCAAATAAAAGCCACAAAAATGGAAATTAGTATCATGTACAGATTGTACTCTGTCAGTTTTATTTGTATATGACCATATTTATGGCACACATAATGCAAAGGTCCAGGATCCCAAACTATGGCCCACAGGCCACATTCTGTGTGCCATATGAAAAAATATGTTCAGGAATCTCACTTCCCTTGGTTTACATTTCTTATTTCATTGGTTCAAGTATGAGTTATTATTGTTTTCAGTACAGGCTGAATTACTGTTTTACTTAAGTGAAATTTTCAAACAATTTTTCAATATAATGATCAAATACACATACTTTATATGGATTTGGGTTTTTCATACAAGTGTTAAAACTAATAAAAAAACAATCTAAAACACTTTCCTTGACCATATCACTTAATTCATTTCTACCTAAAGATGGATACAGTAGCTCATGTTCCTTCACAGCACTGTTAACCATCCCTCATCCTACATCTGTGTCATAACCAAGAAAATCACAACTTTTCACTTCCACGAAAACCTTGAATGTTACAAAGGGTCAGTCATATAGTCAAACTTAGGAAGCTGTTGATGAGTTTATATGAAGAACAAATGCATACAAACAGTTGCCAGATTTGTTGCCATTTTGGAATTATACTCGGTAACAATGTTAGGATCAGAGAATAGTATAAAAAAAATGTGGTCTTAATAAAACACAGAGCAAACTTTACCTTTAATTTACGGAGAGTGTTTTAGATGTTAAATTTTGAACTGAGTGCAGTGTGACAGCGACGTGAGTGTTATACACCTGATGATGGCCGTCTGAGGCCGAAACATGTAGTGTAGGGAGCAAGATCAAAGACACAAAATATATTGTTTGCACTTGACACGGAGTTTATATCATTTAATATACGGATATTCAATAAAACAGTATTCAGTAAAAGTTACCTGATATTTAAAAAGATGATCAAGGGATCTCGACGATCCAACAACTAGGTCCATGAAGACTGTCCACAACCCCAGACCAACATACATTACACACTGTAAAGCTATTATCTGCGATATTATAAGCAGAGGATCCCAAGTTGTGTTACGAAACTGTCCGGTCACCTTCTTCATTGCGACAGGAAAACACTATTATCTATTCCAGCACGGCCACAATCTACACTAACAGACTAGCAGGCACTCCTTATTTTCATCCATTCAACATAGACATTTACCTAAATATTCCTCTACGAATAAAAGGCGCACTTTAGACACAAAATATATTATTCACATAAAGTCTCTAGAATGTATCAATATACTTTCCAAACAGCTGTTTACCTACGTTGCTAAGCAATGATACTTTCGTTGTCACTGTAGCATTTGCTCCACACTCAATTTATATTTCCAACATCAAATGCAAATATAACCTCACCAGCTCACCAGGCCTCCTGGTTTGCAGGTTGGCCAAGCAGCAATGCATAATTTGAATTTGAATTTGTTTGCTTTCAAATTTGGGTACCCCGGGAATTAATATATATTCCGTTTTAACACTAACTTGTGGTTTTAGATCTTTTAAATTTTAGAGTTATGATCCAGAAAGAAAAAGAGAAAAGTGTTTACAGACTTACAGACAGTGTGCTTTATATATGGTACGTGCGTTAGTTTCATTTGGCAGTCCTGTTCACGGATATGAGCATAAATGCATAACGTAGAAAAGGCGGTAAATTACTGGTGGCTGTAATCGAAGTCGATTTCGATATATAATGAACGCTATCCACACACCCTGCGAAAATGATTGAACATGAAAGGGCAGAAAGTACGATGAGGCAAGTCCACCGATTAAATCCCTTAGAGAGTGTGAAATCCAATAGGAATTTGCTAAGTGAATTAAATGAAACTTTAATAGTGGTGAAGCGAAGTGCGTTCTTCACAATAATACAACATAAATTTTGTTTTTAAGCAAAGAGAGGAGCTATGTTTATTTTTTTAATGATATTTGATATACTGTAGTAAGGAACAAGGAACTTTGTTGTAGTTAACACAGCCTATGTGGCAAATATTGAAAGTGTAACATTATGTTAGGTGAGTTCTAGGTTCTTAATGATACTTTTACCACAGTTATGAAGGAGAATACAGAATATACGTAATATCTGATGTTCAACGTAACGGGAGTTCAGAGGCAGCGAAACGCACTAAATTGTGACTCCATAAAATTGACACTAATAACAGGTTTAATTACATAGACATATTAGGTTTAGAAACAGAACGATATAAAGAGATTATGGGGTAGAACTAAGCAAACCTGTTTTCCTACGGCGTACTTCCTAGTCCTATAAATCTTGAGTTAATAGTATCTTATCTGGATAACTTAATTTTATGATCTGGCAATTATATTTGGTTTTGCTAATGGACTAGGGTCCTGGTCTTATGCAAAGAGGGTCATAAGATCTAGGCTTTGCCTAATTAGACTTTTATTTCTTGCAGTTGTGCAGCAGATTATTTTTAGTATTATTGTTGTCATCTTTGGAAGAATACCTCACTTGAATACAGATTTTGTTTACTTACTTACTCATGGAGCTGAGCTCTTCTTGTGAATCTGCCAAATATGAAGGTACTCAAGAACTTCCCAGCATTTTATGGAACCTGATAGTTCATTACCGTGTTCACCAGAGCCCTCCACTGGTCCCTATCCTGAGCCAGATCAATCCAATTCACACCATCCCATCCTATCTCTCTAATATCCATTTTTATATTGTCCACCTACCTACATCTTGGTCTTCCCAGTGGTTTCTTTTCTTCTGGCTTTTCCACCAACATCCCACATGAATTCCTTTTCTCCCCATTTGTGCTCCATGCCCTGCCCACCTCATCATCCTCAACGTGATCATTCTAATTATACTTGGAGAAGAGTACAAGTTATGAAGCTCCACATTATGCAGTTTTCTCCAACCTCCTGTCACTTCATCTCTCTTCGGTCCAAATTCTCCTTAACACCCTCTTCTTAAACACCCTCAGTCTATGTTCCTCCCTTAATGTCAGAGAGAAAGTTTCACACACCCATACAGAACCAAAGGCAAAATTATAGTTCTGTATATACTAAATGTTATGTTTTTGGACAGCAGACAAGAAGACAAAAGGTTCTATACTGAATGGTAGCAAGCATTACCAGAGTTCAATCTCCCCTTAATTTTCTCCTGGATCAGGTTTTGATTTGTTATTGTTGTTCCCAAATATCTGAACTGTACAACATTTTCCAAACATATGTTACTTATCCTTATGTCATGATTTTGCCTTGCATTTTGGTAAAAAGAGAGCAACATATACTTCATTTTCTCTGTGTTTACTTCTAGACCAACCTCTTTACTTGCGTCAATTAAAAGTGTTTGCGTTTTTCTTTATGGTATCTATATTATCACCCAGTAGATTCACACCATTGGCATAGGCCAACAGCTGATATGTCCCATTTAATTTCAGTCCCTCCTGGTTTCCTTGGACCTTCTTAATGGCATATTCTAAAGCAGAGTTGAAAAGGAGTGGCAATAAAGCATCTCCTTGTTTTAGACCATTCTGGATAGGAAATTTATCAGACAAATGTTTACCTGCACTTACTTTACTATACGTTTCAGTTAAACACATTTTAATCAACCTAACTAGTTTCATGGGTATCCCAAACTCTATCAGAATATTGTACAATACTTCCCTCCTAACTGAATCATAGGCTTTCATGAAGTCTATGAATAGCTGATGTACTGTCTCATTGTACTCCCATTTTTTCTCCAATATGTGACGAATGCAAAAGATCTGATCTGTAGTTGATCTGTTACGTTGAAACCCACACTGATGCTCCTCAATAATTTCATCTATGTATGGACTTAACCTTGAGAGAAGAATATTGGACAAAATATTGTATGGAGTTGATAGCAGTGATATCCCACAGCAATTACTACAGCGAATTTTATCACCCTTCTTGGTAACTGGTACAATAATAGACTCCTCCCCCTGATCTGGCAATTTTTCCTTATTCAAAATAGAAGTAATTAGATTGTGGATCTTAGAACGTAGTACGTAATTCACCTCCTGCATGAATGAGTTCTTCCAGAATTTGATCAATACCTGGCGATTTATACCGTTTCAATTTTGCAATAGCAATTCCAACCTCAAAAGGGCTAGGATCAGGTATTAATGGCTCAGCTCTCTGGATTCTGTCTGCCTGACATCACTGACGCTATGTAGATTCAATAACAGAGAGAAGTAGTTTTTCCACATATTCAAAATATTGTGGGAATCTGCAAGCAGATCATCATTCTCATACTTCACTAACTTACTTCTAGGTTGGTTAAAGTGATTTATTCCTCTATACAGGTTTCTAATGTTCTTGTTCTTACTGTTCATTGCAAGCTCATCAATTTTGTCTTCAGATATTCCCTCTTTTTGTTCCTGAAGTGCCTGCTGGTTTCACATCTTATATTGTTCAGATTATTCCCATTTGACTCTCTTGGATCCTGTAACCATTGCAATTTGGTCTGCTCTCTTTGATCTAATAATTTTGAGCATCCTTTATCGAACCATGGCTTATGCTTCTTTGGTTCATAATAACCTAGACTCTCTTTGGCAGACATATTTATATTCTCTTTAATAGTTTCCCAAGCTTTATTAATATCCATCTCAGTTTCCAAGTTTTCCAAAGCCACTAACCTATTTGAGATTTCAGCACAATACTGCTCTTTACCCTCTACCTCGTTTAATATCTTGAGATTGAACCTTTCCATATGAACTCTGTGTATTGTTTGTTAGCTCACTGCCACCTTTGCCACCACCAAGTAATAGTCAGTATCACAATCTGCTGCCCTGAATGATCGGACATCAAATATGCTTGAGTGCCGTCTCATGCACATGCATGATTTTTTACTGACTAACACTGCCGGATGCGTCTGTGGCTGCCAGATAGCGAAGTGGTGTAACACGTGTTCGTCGCATTCTCGTTTCGCTCAAGATGACAGAACACTTGGAGCAGCGATACTGCATTAAGTTTTGTCAGAAACTTTGGATACCCGAGTGGAAACAATTTGCAAAATTCTGCAGGCTTTTGGCAATGATGCAATGGGGGGTCACTCAAATTAAAGAGAGGTTCAGCCGCTTTAAACATGGCCGTATGTTGGCAGACAGTGAGCAGCGTTCCGGGAGACCGTCAACAAGCTGAAATGCTGATGTCATTGAAAAAGTGTGGACACTGATCATGGAGGACCATCGTTTGACCATCTGTGAAGTTGCTGATGAGGTTGGGATCAGCAGAGGTTCCGCAAATACAATTTTAACTGATGATTTGGGCATGCGAAGAGTGGCAGCAAAATTTGTGCCCAAGCTCCTTTTGCCGGAGTAGCAACAACTCCACCTTGAGGTCGCGCAGGACATGCTAGAGTGTGCCAACAGGGATCCTGAGTTCGTGAAGACTGTCACTGGTGACAAGTTGTGGGTGTACGAATATGACCCAGAAACCAAGGTCCAGGTGTCAACAATGGAAGCATCCACCATCCCCGAGGCGCAAAAGAGCATGACAGGTTCAGAGCAATGTGAAGCTGATACTGACTGTTTTTCTCGATTACCAGGGAGTTGTGCATTATGAGTACCTACCACTAGGCCAGACTGTCAATAAGGAGTACTACCAGGAAGTCCTTTGCCATCTTCATGATGCAGTTCGGCGCAAGAGACCGGAGCTGAGGGACGCACACAACTGGCAGCTGCATCATGACAACACCCCAGCTCATTCATCGCACTTGATCCAGGGTTTCCCGGCCAAGCAAGGCATTCCGCAGTTTCGCCAGGCTCCCTACTCTCCTTACATGGCTCCTTGTGATTTCTGGCTGTTCCCGAGATTGAAGATACTGCTAAAAGACTGCCATTTTGACAGCCATGAGGACATAATACAGAACGCGATGGCGCAGCTGCACGCTATTCCAAAAGAAGCCTTCCAGAATTGCTTCCAGCTATGGAAGGACCGCTGGGCTAAGTGTTTGGAGTCACAAGGGGCCTACTTTGAAGGCGATTAGGTATTGTAACCACCCAGATACAGAACTTTGTTTTCCTGGCCCAAGGTCGGACACTTTTTGGACACAATAATACTTGGTGCCCAGTCCTTTAGGACAGCAGACTCTGATACTGACCAATACCTGGTGGTCGCAAGGGTTAAGGAAAGACTCACGGTGAGTAAACAAATAATGCAGAGTTCATATGGGGATCAGGCTCAAGAAATTAAATGAGGTAGAGGGTAAGGAGCAGTATCGTGTTGATATCTCAAAAAGGCTCGCAGCTTTGGAAGACTTAGACACTGAGGTGAATGTTAATAAAGCTTGGGAAACTATTAGAGAGACTATCAACAATTTTACCAAAGGCAGTCTAGGTTATTATGAACTGAAGAAGCATAAGCCATGGTTCGATGAAGGATGCTCAGAATTATTAGACCAGAGGAAACAAGCCAAATTGCCGTAGTCACAGTATCTAAGTGAAATAAATTGGGATAATCTGAACAGTATAAGATGTGAAACCAGCAGTCATTTCAGGAATAAAAAGAGGGAATATCTGAAAGACAAAATTGATGAGCATGTAATGAACAGTAAGCACAAGTACATTGGAGACCTGTATAGAGGAATAAATGAGGTGTTGCCAATCTAGAAGTAACTTAGTCAAGGATGAGAGTGGTGATCTGCTTGTAGAGTCCCACAAGATTTTGAAGAGGTGGAAGAACTACTGCTCTCAGTTATTGAATGTACATAGGGTCAGTGATATCAGGAAGTTAGAAATACATACAGCTGACCCATTAGTGTATGATTCTAGGCCATTTGAGTTTGAAACTGCTATTGCAATGTTGAAAAGATATAAATTGCCAGGGAGTGATCAAATTCTAGTAAGATTTATTCAAGCAGGAAGTGAAATATATTCTGAGATCCATAAACAAGTTAATTCTGTGTAGACTAAGGAAAAATTGTGTGATCAGTGGAAGGTGTCTGTTAGTGTACCAGTTACCAAGAAGGGTGATAAAATTCGCTGTAGTAATTGCTGTGGGATATCACTGCTATCAACTCCATACAATATTTTGTCCAGTATTCTTCTCTCAAGGTTAAGTCCATACATAGATGAAATTATTGAGGAGCATCAGTGTGGGTTTCAACGTAACAGATCAACTACAGATCAGATCTTTTGCATTCGTCACATATTGGAGAAAAAATGGGAGTACAATGAGACAGTACATCAGCTATTCATAGACTTCATGAAAGCCTATGATTCAGTTAGGAGGGAAGTATTGTACAATATTCTGATAGAGTTTGGGATACCCATGAAACTAGTTAGGTTGATTAAAATGTGTTTAACTGAAACGTATAGTAAAGTAAGTGCAGGTAAACATTTGTCTGATAAATTTCCTATCCAGAATGGTCTAAAACAAGGAGATGCTTTATTGCCACTCCTTTTCAACTCTGCTTTAGAATATGCCATTAAGAAGGTCCAAGGAAACCAGGAGGGACTGAAATTAAATGGGACATATCAGCTGTTGGCCTATGCCAATGGTGTGAATCTACTGGGTGATAATATAGATACCATAAAGAAAAACGCAAACACTTTTAATTGACGCAAGTAAAGAGGTTGGTCTAGAAGTAAACACAGAGAAAATGAAGTATATGTTGCTCTCTTTTTACCAAAATGCAAGGCAAAATCATGACATAAGGATAAGTAACATATGTTTGGAAAATGTTGTACAGTTCAGATATTTGGGAACAACAATAACAAATCAAAACCTGATCCAGGAGAAAATTAAGGGGAGATTGAACTCTGGTAATGCTTGCTACCATTCAGTATAGAACCTTTTGTCTTCTTGTCTGCTGTCCAAAAACATAACATTTAGTATATACAGAACTATAATTTTGCCTTTGGTTCTGTATGGGTGTGTGAAACTTTCTCTCTGACATTAAGGGAGGAACATAGACTGAGGGTGTTTAAGAAGAGGGTGTTAAGGAGAATTTGGACCGAAGAGAGATGAAGTGACAGGAGGTTGGAGAAAACTGCATAATGTGGAGCTTCATAACTTGTACTCTTCTCCAAGTATAATTAGAATGATCACGTGGAGGATGATGAGGTGGGCAGAGCATGGAGCACAAATGGGGAGAAAAGGAATTCATGTGGGATGTTGGTGGAAAAGCCAGAAGAAAAGAAACCACTGGGAAGACCAAGATGTAGGTAGGTGGACAATATAAAAATGGATATTAGAGAGATAGGATGGGATGGTGTGAATTGGATTGATCTGGCTCAGGATAGGGACCAGTGGAGGGCTCTGGTGAACACGGTAATGAACCTTCAGTTTCCATAAAATGCTGGGAAGTTCTTGAGTACCTTCACATTTGGCAGATTCACAGGGAGGACTCATCTCTCTGAGTGAGTGGTACTTCTGACTGCTGTAACTTGCTAATGAAGCAGTTGTGACAGTATATTTATATGACCATTTCTGCTTGCCTGTAAGTATAGAACATAATGCTTATATTTAAGGTATGTAATTAAGATTCATCCTGTTCGTGTTTTTAAATATTCTTGAAGCTCTTGAAATAATATTTGAAATTATATTAGTGCTATAGGATCACTAAGTTTTGGAAAGCGCTTCTGTTCCATATCTACAATTAATAATTATGCATTCCAGAGGTGAAGAAGCACAATGGCGCTCTGATGTGCAGGTGAACTAACGCAAAATTACTGCCACAGGGTAACTTACACTAATTGTAACAGTCCTTTGGGTGTTAAGATCTTGTCAGATGAAGAGAAAAATATGCTTGGCTGAGATTAAGAGAATGAAATCGCTTGAAAACTATATGTTTACATCACTGGAAAATGTATGTGTTCTCCCTGAATTTGAGAAATAGAAAGGTTGTCCCCTTTGTATGATGCAGTCATACATTTCATTTCAAGAGGATTGAGAATGTGCAAAGAGATCAGTACTGTGTATGGTTTAGGAACTGCATGTTGCATTTTGTGATAAATACCTTACTGTTTGGGGGCACGCAGTAACATAGTTGGTTGAGGCCCTATGCTACAAGCCGTATGGCCATAGGATTGAATTTTGATGAGGTGGATGTTTTCAATTTACCTAATCCTTCCAGACGCACTATAGCCCTGGAGTCGACTCAGCCTCTAATAGAAATGAGTACCAGGAATATTCTTGGGGGTAAAGGCTGACAACCTTATTGTCATCTATGAGCCAATTGTCTAGAAAATGTGGGAACCTCAACATCTCACAACCCTATGGGCCTCCACAGCCTGTTACAGTGATACCTTTACTTTTTTTCTACTTTTTACCTTACTGTTTCAGTCAGATTTTTAAAATTTGCAAACTTATATCCACAACACTACTGTGCAGGTACAAGCTGGACCCTTGCAGTATGTGTTGTCATTCATCAAAAGATAGCACTCAGTGCAAGGAGAATACCTTGTAGCTAATTTGATGTAAAAAAAACATGATAAAATGATATACTCAGAAGAAAGTGAAACATGTGCTTTAACACAGCGTTCAAGCCACCCGGGGTGTGATGTGGTAGACAAGTTACTGTGTATAATGGATAATTTTGAATTTATAGATGAAATCACGGACAGTGGCAGAAATTAGACTGCTCAGTTTTAATGATTGTTGTTATCACACATGGTAAATGTGCTGATGTGATATTATTATGGGAGTTAAGTGTAGGAGGAATGGGAAAAAAGAAGCAAGGAATGAGTACACAATTTTTGTGGTTTGACTCCTTAAAAGTAAACCACCTGGAAAATGGAAGAGGCAGATGGCAGTATTTAAATGGGATAATAAAAATTGGAGGATAAACTTGACCTTTGTAAGATTTAATGTTGGCATTGTTGAATCTTGTGGTTTTATTACCAGAGGGAGTCTTTCCCCTTACCACGTATTATGTCCTATGTTTTCAAGTTCTTACATCATTACTAAGAACATTGAAATGTCATTCTTAATAATATAATTATGTTTTCATTTTCAGATGCTGTGTTTAGTTTAATTGCTGTGGGTGTTCTTTGGGGAGCCACAAATCCTTTTATCAAGAAAGGGAGTGCTGGAGTCGAAAATGTATCAGCTCCCCATTCTTCATTGCAGTTACTGTATGAGATTCAATACCTTGTGTGCCGATGGCAGGTTGGAAATTAAATCTCGCATTCTTAGAGACAGGCTTTTTCATACATAAGATAAGAGGAGGCTTTTTCATACATAAGATAAGAGGATGGAGTATGTGAGTGGTAGGATGTTCTGTGTAATATTGTAGTTATGCTGAGATTTTGTAATCCCTCTTAGTGGTCAGCACTGTAGATCTAGAAACATCAGTGGTTGATTGTGACATGTTGGCCATGCACTTAGCTAGCTGTATATTTTATTTGCCAGTTCAGTTCCACCACTGTGATATTCTTGGCTGTACTCTGATGTGTTATCATAGTATTTGAGCCTGCAACTTCACACATCTGATGCTCAAGTGAAGATTTAACAAAAGTGTTATATTTTTCACCCTGTCTGGGACTACATCACACATAGATGGGGCCAGGGATCATCAAATCCTAGCAGGGCTAGGAAGTCATTGGCATGATACCCCAATTGCAGGTATAAAAGTGATGATACAAAGGATAGCTTGCCTGGGGAAGTAGAATGTACAATACAGTCTTGGTAATCTGACATACAGGGGACCAAGGTACCCCCGAATTACCGAAAATGATGGATTACAGGAAAATGTCGGAACAAATTTGCTAAGTTATACTGCAGAACATAGAAGTTTCAGAATTATCATTTATTTATTTTCCATACATAAATGTGTACTGTGAATTTTTGTCCATTAATTCAGTACTTAAGGCTTCATTTCACTGCATTTTTGAAGAAAAAAAAATGACAATAGTTTTCTGTCTCTTGTTTCTAAATGCTTCTTTTAGAAGTTTTTCTCACAATTTTTTCATTGTGAGGATGTCTTCACATTGCACATTGTTTCCTTCAGCCCATTTATAACATGTTGAAGGTCCTCGTGGAGTCATCATGTTGTATTGTGTGGATAATCGGTGGAGTACGTGACTCTTGCTCATTCTTGCTGTTATCATCTTCTAGCACATTTTGATTATCTCTTCATCTGTCATTATTTGAAGATTTTCCTCCTCACCTCCAGCTAGCCAGTTATGTCAGCAATTGTTGGACCCGATGAGCCTTTTCCACACAAGTAGTTACTACAGGATTCTGACGATAACACATAGAAATATTGGGTTTTCGGACTTTATCCATTGTCCTGGTTTTAAGATAACACAGTTTGGCTATTGCTTCTTGGAGATCAGAAGTTAGGACTGTACCATCATTTTCCAATTCTTCTGGCCCTGTGAGTCCACTCCTACCGGAGGATAATGAATGTGAAGGCCACAACCTTTTCCCAGAAGAAATTGTGGATTTAGGAGGTACATTTTGCCATGCATATTCGAGATTAAAAACTACATCTTGAGGTTTATTTGTTTCAGACATTGAATGATATCATTTTGACTTATTACACTGTACAGAAGGCTCTTTTTGAAATGTGACTTAACAAACTGTATTAACATACTGATCCATTGGTTGTAGAAGTGGGAAGCAATTTGGCAGTAAGAACATTAAGTGTATTAAGCCATCTCCTGATTTTAACTGTTCTTCACTTAGGTGTCCAGGAGCATTATCTAAAATTAATAATGCTTTAACTGGTAAATTTTGCTTCTTAAGAAATATTTTTACTGATGGCTCAAAACTTTCATGGAACCATTCAATAAACACTTCTCTTGCTTTGGCTTTTGTATGTGACTGGAAGACTTTGGTTTTTAAATGCTCTTGGCTTTGCCACCTTACCAGCCACCAACATTTCAAGTTTGTGGGTGCCATTTGCATGTCAAGAATTCATGAACGTAATTCATTCTTTGAACATTTTGCGCCTGGCTGCATTTTCTTCAGCTTTGTGGACAAAAGACTTTGTGGGCAAGAACCTCTTCAGTTTTTTCTTGTAATTTTCTCACAAAAGGATCAAAATCTTGAGATGTCAGAAGATAATTTCTTTCCTGCTGTAGTTAGAAAATGGATTTCAAATCACTTTTTAAATGTATCTAGCCATCCATCGCTTGCTCTGAAATCATCTTTTTTCGTAATCATTTTGTAAAAATATTTTTTCCTTCTCTCGAATAATTTCCCCAGAAATAGGAGTGTGTCTATTACGTTCTTGTAAGAACCAAATGTAAAGAGCATATTCAGAGTATTCACCAGATTTTAGAGTCTGCCTGTCACAAGGGCCACTGTCAGTATTTTTCACAAAACATCCTATCTTCTCTGTATTTATCATGATATCGTGTATCATAGCACATCCAACACCATACTCTTCAGCCAAATTAATAAGCTTTTCACGTTTGTTAAGTTTCTAAATTATTTTACCCTTAGCACCTGAAGTTTTATGTTTACATTTGTCAGAACTTGACATCTTCAGCCCACATTAAATCCACTGCTGTGTGAAAAGTACTGTACAGGAGTGTATACTAACACCGCTCTTTTCCAACCTGCCTTTGTTATATCAGTTCAGTCGGAATAGTGCTATCCCTGCTACACCTATATATACCTTAGGACAGGGTATGATGATCACTGCAAGTTGTTCTCACAGATCAAGCTAAGGAAGGTCGATATAGGTATGGGAAACTAGCTGGGTTGGTTAGCATGACACTCGGTAGCGAAGCCAAATTAAGCAGTATTCTGGGAGTTGATCCAGAATAGTGTTCATACACTTATTAAGTGCAGACAATATGTTATAGGTCTTTCGTCTTTCTCCCGTCACACTACAGTGTTTAATTTATTGTATGCTTATGCTTTAAAATTATAACATGTTACTTGATCTACAAACTATGTTTTGGAGCGAGCAGGGGTCACATCCATACACTTCAGAATGTGGTGAAAGATTCCTCGTGGATTGGCTTGCACACCCCATGCTGGGAATTCCTAAAAGAAATTTGAATTCTCCATGGTGCGGACATTACATGTCAATCCATCTCCCATAAGGAAGTTTGAACGAGCCAACTCCCTAATAATGTCCGTCATTCAAAGGCAGTTGTAACGAGTTCTGACCTGTCCTGTGTTATACTCAACACACGCAGTCACAGGAGCAAGACACAACACAAAGCACAATACACACACGAAAGTAGAAAGAGTGCTCCGACAGAAGAGGATAGGTGTGACTCGCGTAGTGAGATATGACATAGGGATGAAAAATCCTGAACAATTTTAATATTTTTAACATTTAACATTTATCAATATATATGATAAATATATATTTTAGTTATTTTAATATGAAGACGGCAAGACATGCAGTGAACTAGTTTAACGTAAATCGAATAAGCACCTGAAGATGGCACTTTTGTGCCGAAACATGTAGTGCGAGAGAGAGGAGTGAGATAGATGAGTGTATGCACTGGAAGACGGTTGAAATAAATCATGGACTTAATTCAATTTAGACAAGTAAGGTTTTAATATCTGCTTGTTGAGTCTCCCATGTGCCTTCCCATTTAAGTCAGAAATTTCGAACATTGATGGTGAAAGAACATCTATTATCACATATGATCCTTCATAATGTCAGATAAATTTACTGGTAATACCACACGTAGCATCTGACACTGGCTGGATTCGCACTAAAACATGATCATTTAATTATGGTTCCCAGTTGGTGGATCTGGTTTTCCTCCTTGTTTTCCTTCCTTCTGCTTTCAGTTTCAATTTTGCATATGCACGAAGGAGTTAGGTTCCAGGCTTTCCTCTTTTGGGTTTGGTCTGTGGTTTTCTTTAATATCTTCTCAAACACAATCAGGTTTAGGCTGGCCAAACATAAGTTCGACAGGCATGTAGCCAATTGATCCACTCACCGAGGTGTTTAACGCTTATCCTACGGGCATTTAAATTCCGGTTGGGGCAGCCATACGGAATTATTTAAAGGGCCGCTATTAGAAATCCGTAAAAACTGTAGTCATTTACTAAATTTGCTCCTATTTCTGCAATTTCTGTGATAAACGAACGAAATAAACGCTGTTTTTTTTTTCTCGAAAGAATATAGAATCAGATATTGTAATTTACAGATTGTATAAAACATGTTAAAATTTTTGCACTGACTCCAAAAAGAAATTTGCCAATTTTTTTCCTTCTCTGCGAGAATTCATACGTTTTGGACACCCCTGAATGCAATCTGGTGGATGAAGACACTTGGCAACATTGGAGTTGCTGTGTCTAGCATGTTTATCTCAGTACAAGTGACGTACCTAGTTCGGAATGTGGATGTGGACGAGTGAATATAAGCTCAGTGTCTTCGCTCTCAGCTACATTATAACGTTCCTACTGTTCTTATATAGATCAAAGCTAACATTGTTTATGCAATTGCGTTTGTAGTATCAACAAAGCGATAATAGAGCTTAGTTCCTGGAATTGTGCAGTCGAAGTTTGTACATGGCCTAGTGTCGTGTGGAATATTCTATCAACGAAATAGGTCCGTGATTCTAAGGGTTCATTCGAAGTACTTTGAAGTTTTATCGTAACATGACGTAGTTCAATAGGAATGAGGAGAGTGGGGGAATGAAATGAACTCAGTGCTGCTTTATCGAGCTGGGTTGCACACTAAGATTACACTTCTTTATACAGTTTCATTACACTGAGTCCTGAGTTTGTGACTGGAAGCGTTCTGTCTAGTTACGTGATAGTGTGATTTTACCATGGCTTCATCTCATCTGGAAGATTCCGACATATTTCAGCTGATCAATGACACCGATTCAGATTGTTGTACTGACAATTCTGAGAGTGACGTTGAAGGTAGCGAATCAGAAAGTGATATCGATGAAGACCAATCATCTTCGTCGGCAACCTGGGGACCACCACACCAGCGTGGCACGAGGAGTGTGAATACATATTCAGGTGGAGCTGTGGGGTTAAAATCCCATGAAGCTCCACATGTAAATAAGGATTCCACCCCTTTCAGCGTTTTCATGCTGTATTTCGCAGAGATTATCCATCTGCTGGTGGAAGAGACGAACAGATACTACCACCAGCACATAGACAGACGTCAAGACGGACCTTCTCCGCGGCCTGACGTGACCGAATCCGAGATGTTTCTGTTTCTAGGAATAATC